GGCAGACAAATGCACCATAGATTCTCAAGCCACCATTTTTAAAAGGAAAATTATGGAGGACGGACATAAATTAAGTAGAAAATGTAGATTATGCAATATGAAGCAGTATAAAGAAAAAACCCCTGTAAAGTCATTAGAGTTATAATATATGTGCTGTAAGGCAGATAGCAAGCTGGTTGTTTATGTATGGTTGGAAGCTGCCCAGCCAAGAAACTTGAAATTCGGAAAGTAATTTAAACCTGGTAATTTTCTTGTACATGCTTGGATGACTGAACAACCGCTATATGCGATGAATATCCATATTCAAAATTAAGCTTATATCCACCGTAACCGCTCAGGGCTCATTGATACATTCTATTAACTGGGCACAATAAAACCTTGATTTATTCTACAGTTATCAGGTCTGCAGTAGAGAACGTTCCTTTTAATAACAGTGAAACGGTATTAAAAACTGTCAGCAGCAGCAGTTAGGCGATCCCAGTCATGCAGATGCGGTGCCGTGCCGTCACCATTCCGTGTGCTGGGGACAGTGCAAGACACAGTGGAGGGACACGGGGACGACACGGCGCCGAGATGAAGTGATGCTTCTGCAGCCCACGACCTCCCGCACCCCATCAGAGCGCGGGGGTGCGAAGGGAGGAGCTGCAGCACAAGCCACGCTCGCTACTTCCAGGAGTATTTCCTATCGTAAGCACTACGGGCGGGACGAAGGGGCAGGATCCCTGCAAGGCTGGGGGAGGAGGGTTTGGTGTGCTGGTCGCTACTCCGGTGACGCTCGCCGAGGAACCACGGGGCGAATCAGTGGAATTAAAGACACGGTGGGGTGACCCGATGGGTGGGCACAACACCCCTGCACCAGAAGCACAACCGCAAAACAAGGACGGGCAGGGCAGGCGAGGAGCAGCGGAGGCTGCGGAGCCGGTGCTGAGCTGGTGCTGAGCCCACATGGCACGGTGCTGGGAGGGTGATTAAACCAGTTGGCAAAACCAGAGGAAAATAAAGGAATGGGATTGGTTTTGGGGGGAGTGGAGGGAGGAAGCCTTGCTCCTTATTAGCTTGTCAGACGAATGAACAGATATCTTAAAAGAAGAAACAGGATTGAACAACATTTGACAAAACGAACTGCCCAACCCATGGTAAAAAAAGGGCCTGAAGGCTTCATCTCCTCTTTTACATTTCTTTAAGATCTTTTCAGATTGAAATTTGAACAATAAATTTGATACAAATTTATTGTAAATAGGGACTAGTAGACAAACCCCAGCTCTCCTAAATGTAATGCTTAGCTTTTACTGATGGAAGGCTGCCCTGCCAGGCCAGCTCAGACAGCAAAAGGACATCGTTCTGCTGGTCCGATGGCACGCACGCCGGCCCTTTTTGACCAGGGCTGCCCATGCCGAGGTGCTGGGGTGCGAAGTTCAGCCCAGCACGTCCCCCCCACGGGGGAACGACGCGTCCCCAGGGCTGACCACGGCAGGACGAGCTCTGGCAGCATCGCCCGGCTCCGGCACGACCCTCTCCTGAACGCAGCGAGCCGTTTTTCTGCCTGGTCGGAACGGATGAGCAGCAGCAGCAGGAGCAGATGTTCGGAGTGCTTTTGCATTGTGCTTAACTGGCTAGGGGACAATGTACACGTCCAAACAGAAGTGCATTAGCAATTAGCTGACAACAACAAATCCTTCATGTATACAAACTGCTCCATGCTGTAGCCAGATCCTAGCTTTACATTGCTTCACTTTTATTTTTGTCCCCTCCATTTTCTTCCTTTAGTTGTAAGAAAAATTTAAAAAAATCAACAACTTTGCATGTCCCCAGCACAGACTTAGAAGTTTGCCTGAATACGACGCCATGCCACGTGCATCCACACTACAAATAAAGATGCTTCCGGCTCAGCTCAAGTAGCTGAATCAGGACAAAGATCAGCTTGGACACTTTATTCAAGTATTTACTGAGCTTCTTGGTTGATTTAGCAGTCAGTAACGTGTTTCTTACTGCAGATAGAGCTACCCTTACGCTGTGTGCTGCAGTCAAACCTGAGCACCCCTCACCTGTGGTATGCCCCAAAGAGGAGCACAACCCTTTGAGCCTGCACATCCTTCAACACGGACACAAATTTCTCCCATTACCCCTTTGGCTTGGTGTCCAGGGGGAGCAAATCCCACCCCACCTGCAGCCCAGCCTCTGACGCTGGTCACACTGGAGTCCTTGCTCCTGCTCCGGTTGCTGCAGAGACACCTTTGCTCACCACGCAGACCCGGCTGGTGGACGGGCCAAGGGCTGGTGCAGGAACAACTCGCCCTCTTGCCCACAAACACTTCTGACAGACTCAAAACTCACGTTAAGAAAATGGTGAACTGGGGTCAGAAATAGTTCCGGCTTTGACAGGAACCGGGGTGCAAGGCACACACCAACTGGCACATCAGCTGCACGCTGCATTTAAACTTGAGTTTTAGCTTTGACCAAAGCTGATGTTTTTATCCAGACTAGGACTCATATGTACCTCTAGAACCTGGCTCAGAAGACAAGAGAGGTTCCATGAGTTTACCACCTCCTCTGTGCTCTTTTTTTATTAAAAAATAATAATAATAAAAAAAAAACAACAAAAACAAAACCCAAAACCAAAACCAGCAAAACCACAACAAACACTTAAACAACTACTAACCCTTTCCATGAGCACTTAGAAAGGTGCCAAGAGAGCTAGTTTCACTCATATTAAAATCCCCATGATATGAAATAACATAGATACAATATTTGTTTTGCTAAAACTAGACTGTGCTCACCATTCCTTCTAGTCCCTATTGCCAGTTACTTATCTAACAACACAAACCACCTTGGAGAGCAGCTTGTGCAAAAGGTGCCACCCCAAACCCCCCAGGGCACACCTATGCAAAGATCTGCACAACTTCTCCTATTGACAATCTCCTTGTAGCAACATACTGCACAAAAAATAACAGCTACTTGTTAGAACTGTACAATCATTTAAGTTGGAAAAGACCCTGAAGATCACCGAGTCCGACCGTTAACCCAGCACAGCCAAGGCCACCACTCAACCACTTCCCTCAGCGCCACGTCTACGCGGCTTCTAACTCCCTCCAGGGCTGGTGACTCCACCACTCCCCTGGGCAGGCTGTGCCGGTGCTCGGCAACCCTTTGGGGGAAGAAATTTTCCCTAATATCCAACTTCCACCTCCCACGGCACAACTTGAGGCCATTTCCTTTTGTCCCGTCACTCGTAACCCGGGAGAAGAGACCGACCCCCCCCTCGCTCCAACCTCCTTTCAGGGGGCTGTAGGGAGCCATCAGGTCCCCCCCGATCCTCCTTCTCTCCAGGCTGAACCCCCCCAGTTCCCTCAGCCGCTCCCCACAGGGCTTGTGCTCCAGACCCTTCCCCAGCTCCGTTTCTGTTCTCTGGACATGCTCCGGCACCTCCAGGTCTTTCCTGGAGCGAGGGGCCCAAACCTGAACCCAGTATTGGAGGTTCAGTGTCACCGGTGCCGAGTGCCGGGGGACGATCCCTGCCCTGGTCCTGCTGGCCACACTAGTGCTGATACAGGCCAGGACGCTTGTTCCATAGGACACCATCCATTGTGGTTTTTCCTCCCACATAGTCTATAGTTTAGAGCACTGCCTGCCTTGGGGAATTCATCAAAGCTGATGTAGGTGGAAATATGTCAATGAGGACAAAGAAGGAGCGAGAACAGCAGTGGACTTGGCACGAGCCTCCTCGAGCTGCTCTGCAGTTGAAGTCTGCCCTTGTGACTTGTAAAGCCAGGACGGGTGGGCACAGCACAACACGCTAGAGCCTCTGAGCAGAAGCCTCAGGACAGCAGCCAGTGTCACCAGCAGTACAGAAAGCTGGCCGGGAGAGCCAGTTGTGTGACTGAGCTATTCTAGAAGCGTTAGTGCATCGACCCACCACGTTCCGGGACAGCACGACCTGCCAGTACCCTGGTGTCATGTAAACGACGAGAGTCTAGTCAGCTTTTGAGTGTGGGAACATCCCATAAATTTCTGGGCAGCACAGCTAACCCCATTAGCAACCTACCTCCCCCCACCCCGCTCCCACCTCCTGCTCCACAGCAGCTGGGGGACAAGGGGCTTTGCTACCTAATGTGTACTGACAGGGACAAGATCTGCGGAGAGAGGCACAAAGCTGAGATCTCGAAAAATCTTGGCCAGTAAAGATGCCACAGCAATTTTCAGACCAGAAACTGTTACAAATTACAAGCAGAGTAATTGCACTTAACCTAAGAAAATTCATAGTTAGAATGAATGAGAGTAATTATCTGTTTTCTTTCCTTTTTTTTTTTTTTTTTTTTTTGACATGCTGGAGGGAAAAAGAACACTGCTCTGAATATTTCATGTCATACCAAGTGCTAAACCAAATTCAGTCCCAAGTCAGAAGCATTTCCTCAGTGTGCAAATCCCAGGTGATCAGACCTGAGAGGCTGCAGGGACAGGGACCAGGCTACCCGGCACTACGACAAAACTGTGCAGCAAAGTTCTTGCCTTCACAGTTGGGCTACCGCACAAAACAACTTGCTGTCTCTACTGGGATTACCTCAAATTTCCACAGAGATCAAATCACCAAACCATTTCAAAAAATTTCTTGTTTCCTTGTTATCTCACAACCATAACAAGTTAAATCAGAAACGCAACCACAGCAGTCCTCAGAAGTTACTCAGATAATTACTGAAAAAGTTCCTCCAGAACCTGAGTCACACAGCAGCCCAGCGAGAGCACTGCTATAAAGCTTGCGCCAGCACGCCAGCACTACTGTCCCCCAGCAGACAAAAGGAGCATTTCAACCTTCATCTCATTTTACCTTCCTTTGGTGAGACTAACTCACACATCAAACAGCACAGGTCACTTTGCTACTGTAGTACAATACCCAAACACACCACAACTTCACCACAAGCAACAGTTCACTGCATTAGACTTTTCTTCTCAGCCGTGTCCCTCTTCTCCATTGGATTTAGTGATTAAAAAACAATGTGACTTACAGTTTACTGTGACTTTTACTTTTTTCACATCTGGGACTGAGACATCATTTTCCGCACTGCATTCATACTCCCCAGCCTGGTCTCTTGTAATTCCGTAGATGTCCAGGTACTGCCCGCTCTCAAAGGGTTTTGCTGAAATGAAATAATCAGAGAAAGAAATCACTGGAAGCTGAGCACAAAACACTTGAAACTTCACCAACATCTGAGCAGCAGCTGGAGAATTTTGCTGGGTGCTGCAGGTAACACACACCCAAGAGGACCCAGGCAGCTCCTGCAGCTTTTGCTTGGAAGTCCCAGCTTTGAGCTGGGCTGCAAACCCTCCCCGAGCAACTGGGGTTGGACAAGGGTCCTCTCCTGACCCTGCCCCATAGCCAAGCTCGGCAGCCTCCAGATCCACAAGAGCAATTTGCTAACACCGCTCCATACCTCATGGGCTTCAGGGAATACAGACTGGTTTGGGGGGAAAGGGACCTCAAAGCCCCCCCAGTGCCCCCCCTGCCCCGGGCAGGGCCCCCTTCCCCCAGCCCAGGGGGCTCCCAGCCCCGTCCAACCTGGCCTTGAACCCTTCCAGGGAGGGGGCACCCACAGCTGCTCTGGGCACCCTGTTCTACAGCCTCACCGCCTGTAAGGCTGGGTCCTCAGCCAAAACCTTGCTTTAAGAGTTCCAGCATCGTTAGGGCTTATGGTTTGCACCTGGGAGGACACCTGGGACCAATTGGAAGGGCGAGCTCCAGAGCCCAGCCCTGGAGCAGCTGGTCCACCCCCACTGCTGGTGGCCCCCCGCCGCAGCTTCCCATCACAGGTGCCCTCACTTTTTAATCACTGTTTGATCCTGTTGCTCTGCATCGACCGTCTAGACACGAAGGGTGGTGAACCTCCTCAGCTGGGGGCCCCCTGCACCCCCAGAGTCTCCTGGAGGGAACCAGTGAACAATCACCTCTCGTGGGTGGCTGTGGGTGCAAAATGGGTGGGTCGCCCCACATCCTCCCTCTAGGGAAAAAGCCCTTTCAGGCTTGCTCACCACACCACTCCTCAGTGCTTATGCGTCCTGCCCTAATGAACATTTCATCTTATTAATTACAAATTAACTAATAGCTCTCCTCTCCCAAAGGATCAAAACCCAAGGAATAAGATCCTGGGTGTTTGCCTTCTTACACAGAAACCAGGACAGTCAGAGCGAGCACTGCTACAAACAGGCAGAGGTCTGTCTGATGCAAACCAAAATGAAGACCAAACTGAAATATTTGTGTATGTATTGTAACTGAGGCCATTAATTGTTCTAGTGAGCAAGAATAATTATACGATTCAAAAGCTAATTTATCTCCACTTGACATGGAGTCACAGCACACAGAAATGTTTGTAGTTTTCCAGACCCCAGCACCTCCCAGCTTTTCCCTACTGTGGTTCCCGCCTTGCAGTGAGCACTCTGATATCCTACAGAGGAAAACTGCTGCCTGGTTCAAAGTTCATCCCTCTACGTCTTTCGAGCAGTGTGCTCTAGGTGGGGAGCAAATTAATTGTTTTAGATTCCTCACACGGCATTCATCAAATAATAAAGCAAAAAATGTTAAATACAAGTTTTATCTTAAAACAATATGTCACAGCAGTCATGACTACAGACACTGGAAATTATAGGCCTAAAGGTTAAAAAGACTCGCTGAAAGTGTTTTTCCCAGATAGACAAGCTTTTAATTGACTGTTAATAACTTTGCAACTTATGGAGCGATGGCAAAAATCTGAACTGGGTAGTGAGAGCTAAGTAGAAGTATTATGTTCATGTCCATCACGGCAGTGAATTTCATTTGCTTATCTGTTCATGGATTAATGTTTTAAAGGGTGCGAGGTTCAAAACATCAATTATAACAGTGCATCTCTTAGCAAGATAACACTCATTAATAAGCAGAATATACCATGCCTGTCACGAGAAAGAGCCCAAGTAAGCACTGGTTATGTGAAGCAGAAAGATAAGGCAGAAATTGGAAAATTACTGTGAATTGAAGTGAACATTCATAAACTGCAATGAAATAATTTGTGGTATACAAGAAATTGCATGAGAATGATTTTTTTTCTCTTCCATGTTGTTTGTAGGAATAAATTACAAAAAAAACCCCTTCCACGAAGAAACCTGCTGTTACTGTTCACATCGTGACCCTCGTCCTGCTTCACTTTGCCCAAGTTGAATCAATTTCTAGGAAAATTTTATTTACTATTGCTGTGAACAGCAGTGAAGGATGCAAAGCTCCTGCCTGCACAGGAGTGTCTGCTCAGGCTGAGGAGAGACCTTCCGACAAGACTTCTGCTTTGTTTCTAACACCAAAAAAAAAAAAAAAAATCTAAAATGCAGAATTCTCCTGTGTGTTGGGCTTAAATTTAGTATTGGATTATGAGATTGTAATGCTCTTCAATGTCAGTGCCTTCCTGGATATATGGCATACACCAAAATACTGTATAGTGAATTCTGAGAATAATTCATGACGCATCCTATCCCAATTCCCACCATCAGTTTGGGAAAAAAAGAAGAAAAGAAATAATCTCCAAGTGCCTGGAATTCCATAACAATAGTTATTTTTAGGATTGGAGTCAAGCTGAGAACAAACATCCTCTGCTTTAAACGTTTGTTTTAACGTGAAGACAACACATCAGGCCACAGCCTAGCTTCTTGCCCCCCGCCCCGTTTTCTCTCTCGTATCAGCCCCTGGGGCGTCGCTGCGCCCCGGGCACCGGCTTTGCCGCCCGGATGGGGTAATGTCCACCCGCGGCCGGGGTGGCTGCGGCCTGGCAGAAGCGGCAGGTTGAGGGATCGGGCACAATTCTGCTGCGGCATAAGCAACGCCAGCTCCCGGGCCTGGCGGGGAGGCAGCCGTCGGGCTGGAAAATACTGGCAGGAGCGGGCCCGGCAGGGAAAGCAAACGCGGGTGCCGACAGCAGCCAGCCCCGGGTGCTGCCGCCGGCTCGGGCTCTGCGCACCGGCTGGCTGCAGGGGTGGAAACTTGCTGGGACTCCCCCCAGTAATTGTATTTATACGGCTCCTATGCGGAGCTATTAACCTGATTTGCGCTGCAAGCCGTGCATGCGTTTTTATAGGGCTGTAGACCCCATGTATCTTATGCAACTCACATACGCATTTGAAAATATTAAAATTAAGTCATCTTTAAGCCCTCCGGTCCCCAGAAATTTTGCATCCAGCTCACATAAGAAAGCTTTTAGTAAATATTAGAGATAAATATTTTTCTTAGGGAATACATAGATACCACGCTTCATCTTTCCTACTTGTCTGCACAGTATTTCATCTTCTTCAGCTTGTTTTTAGTTCTAGAGATTTCCCATGGCTGTGTGGGAGAACTTAAATCGTGTTATGTGAAAGATATATGCATAAGTATATGTAAGCATATTTATGTTACGTTGCATGCACATCCAGCTCAGAAAAGGATATTCATAAGCAGCAGGGAGAATAAATTGCGTATGAAGACATTGGTGAATGAAGACAAGTTTCAGGAGGCAACTCAGTTTTCTCACTGTTTTTTTCCATGATGTCTCACAGCCCGGGGTAACCGCACCTTGCTCTGCCCTTCTGCAGGCCACGTGTGTTTTATGGACCTACCACGGTAGCAGGAACGTGTCTGGCTGGCTTTCCTGGATGTAGAGCCAGAAGACTTATCAGACTTGGTATCCAAGAAAAAGAAATCTGGGAGGTTCATCAGCCCCAGTCCATCAGCCTGAGGTTGTGTCAGCCAAGATCTTTGATCAAAGACGGGGAAAAAACTGTTAGTTGAAGTAAAAGATATATAAACATGAGAGTGCTTCATGTTCTAGGCCATTCCTGATGGGCTCTTCAGAAGATCTCTTAACTAGGTTTACTGATACACATAATGTGTAAGTAATCTGCTCTGGCTATCCGAGGTGGTAAGACCAGGTTCACTAGCCAGGAAAGGAAACACCTGTGAAACTAAACTTGAATGACTGTTTTCTCCTACAGCCATGTGATATGATGCCTGATAAACCATCACACTTGTTATTCCTCAGGAGAGTACACAATTAAAACTGTGGATTCTTACCATGCATATGGTATCTGGCATCAGGTGTAGCACACGTACGCATTGCCATATGGACCAGTTCTCAAAAGGCTTGGATGGATGAGTTTTGCAAGGGTAGCATTTTCCTATCCTGGTGTTAAAAATAAGTCAGTAAGAAGGAAAATCTGGTGCAAGTCCAGGGTAGCACTGAAAATCTCTGAGGAATTCATCTGAGTTAAGGGGGGGATTTTTTTTTTTTCTTTATTCACTAAGATATTAAAAAAGTAAAATATAGCCCCAGTTTATGAACTGCAAATCCTGTTCAGTGCTCAGGACTGGCTTTTATGACCCAATCTTTGAGACACCTTATCCTCCAGCAGAGAGTGAAGACCCTCAAAGGCCTGGGAGAGTGGGGAGCACGAGGCTGAGCTGGTGCCAGTCCTGGCTCATCGCAGACTCAGGGCATTTTGATGGTGCCTGAGAGGCTGCGCCGAGCCTGGTGACCTGTCTCCCGACAGAGAGGAGGCACGGAGGTCCCAGCCCATCCTCACATATACTGCCTCAATGATGGGAACAGGGCTCGGTGTGAGAGAACAGAAGGTAGTCTCCAATGATGATGTCATCACGATGTCATCTGATTATCACCAGATGCTTTAAGTCGTCTGTAAGGTCCTTCTTGATCTCAGGGGCTGGGTGGAGATACAGGACCAAGGGCACGAGGAGGCACCTTTCCTTCCTGGAGATGAGTTGCTGTGGGATGCCGAGAACAATGTGAAGTCTGAACAATTGGATTCATGCAGAAAAATGATCTGAAGACATTTCTACTGGGTTTAAAGTTACACCAAATGCTGTAATTGGATAGTCTTCTCCAAGGAACTGCAGGAAATCTGAACAGCTCGCTGTCTATTAGGAGAACGGCCCTATCATATTAGGGACCATTTAAACACTGGTCGCTGAAGGCCATTTAGCTTTAGAGAAGCCATGCTCCACGTTTGAAAAGAAAAATCAGATAAAATGCAAAGAAAAAAGATACCCAAACCTGACAGATAAATTGAAGGCTGGAGGAGATCTCCCAGCTGACGACAGGAAACAAGAAAAGCAAGTAGAGCAATTTTGTGA